ATCCAGCGAGGGACAACCCCGTGAGGCACTTATGATAAGTGCGGAACAAGTGGCCAAGATGCTTGAGGAAGCCCTGGCTAAACAACAGGAGACCTTCAGGTAATGCAGATGGCCATGCAGAACATGAGAGAAATGCATGACCAACAAATCCAAGCATTGACAAACCAGCAAGGCGAGCCAAGTCGTCGTAACCAGGTTAATCAGGAAGATGAGGATCGTAACACCAATGATCCTCCCGTCAACGCAGGGGGTGGTAATGAGAATGCTGGCGAAGAAACCAGCGAAAACTTGAAGATCAAAAATCTCGAGAGCAAAATCAATACGTTGATTTCCGCTCAAGAGATGAAGAAAACAGGCATTCCTTGTCCATACCCAAGAGAATGGGAATCGATCACATATCCGGCGAAGTTCAATCTAATTAACTTCACGCCGTTTAATGGGATGGGTTCACCTACTTAGCATTTGATTTACTTCAAATCACCCCTGGGGGTTATCTCTGGTAATGAGCCTCTGATGGTACAGTCCTTCGTTGGCACTCTTCGTGGAGCCGCCTTCGATTGGTATCACCGCCTCAAGCCAGGAAGTGTGAATAGCTGGGACGACATGGAAACTAAGTTCCTCGCTAATTTCTTCGATGACGACACCGAGATATCCATCAAAACGTTGCTCGACGAGAAACAAAAGGATGGGGAATTAGTGGACACCTTCGTCAAGAGGTTCTGAAACAAGGCGATGAACTGCCGGGACCCGATCACTGAGGAGTTTATTCTCCAGACTTGCCACAACAACCTCGCACTGGACGTGTTGGAAGCAATGGGGACAGGACCGTCCAAAACCTGGAAGGATTTGAAGGTCCGAGGAGAGCAAGCCGAGCGGTTTCTCAGGAGGAAGAAGGCGGAAAGAGGCCAACAGGCGACGAATGCTCTGCAACAGAATTTCGTCCCACGGGGGAAAGGTAAGGCACATGCTAATGCAGTTGATGCTAATCAAACTTTCCAATTGCAACATCAGCAACAAGCACCACAACAATCTCGAGGGCAATGGCAACAACAGCCTCAGAAGCAGAAATCTTCGGAGCCGAGGTTTCCTAAAGTGTACTCCTTCAAAGATGACGAAGTTCCTGGCATCTTTAAGTACCTGTTGGAGAATAACAAAATCCAGCTGCCAGCGATCGTGGAACAAGAAGGGGCTAGCAAAGTGACGGATCCGAAGTATTGCGCATACCATAGAGCGGTCCATCACCCTACCAAGTCGTGCTACCACCTCAAGGACAAGATCCAGGTGCTAATTGATGTAGGCGTCATAACCCCAAAGCCGTCCAAGAATGTCGGAGTGAACGCAGTGTCAATCAGCTTTGGATCGGTGCCCACAACATGGTTCAAACCAGAGTGCATCACCAAAGTAGGAATGAAGACAGTGAACGATGACCCACATGGACAGCGCCAAAAAAGACTTGTGCCACACACAGCCCCAAACGGCGAAATCCTCTGGGTTCATCCCGATCTCATTGAAGACGAACAGTGGGTGATTTCCTCGAGAAGAAATGGTAAAGGCAAGTCCTACAATGCTAAATCCGCAATCTTCGAGGAGGATGGCGATGAAGCTCCTACTTTCCCGCTCTCCGAAGAAGAACAAGAAGTCTTCACCACTAGAAGCGGAAATGAGTATCACTACAATTATCCACCACCTAGTGAGCAGGGGGTGAATAAACGGGGACCAACCAAAACTCTCACGGAGATGGGGGTGAGTACAAGTCCTACACCGGGCGAAGAGGCTCGACGGCAGCCGGTGAATAAACCGAAAGAGAAGAATTGTCCAAGGAAACCAGGGAGGCCTTGCAAGAAGCTTTGGCCAATTCAGAGGTGTTTCTGACTCAAATCAAGCCGGTGCCTGAAGAGCCAGAACCGCTGAGTCAATAATGCAACATAGCAACTAAGAACCTTCCCTGCATTACTTTCACCAAAGAGGATATGCAGACGAAGAATTTGAACCACGATCGACCGTTATACTTCATCGGGTACATTGGCTCCAGCAAAGTCAACCGAATCCAAGTAGATCCGGGTTCTGCTGTGAGTATTATGCCGCTTCGCTTGATGCATTTCCTCGGCATTCCAGTCAGCAAGTTGGCATCCACATTATCTATGGATTCAACACTAGCGGGTCAAGACCCTTGGGTAAGATCCGGGTAAAGTGTCAAATGGGGGATTTGAAGACAGAAGTCACATGTTATGTGATCGATGCCGAAACTTCATATAACTTACTATTGGGTCGGCCTTGGATCCATAGTAACGTTATAATTCCCTCAACTCTCCATCAGTATTTGAAATATGTCGACACTGATAATAAAGTTAGGACGGTGGTCGCGGATAAGCAACCATTTAAAGGGTATGAGAATTATTTCACTGATTCTCTCCTTTATGGTAATGAATCCGACACTGAATCATCGGCCCATGGCACGGACAGCGGAGAAGAAGCTGATACCGAGGCCGGATTTGATTACAATGGAGGTTATGTTTTAAACGACATTGTACCCTTTGTAATCAACCTTGACGATGAACAAACGTCAGAGGGCAGTTGTAACTGGCAACTTGCCAATAATGAAATAAATAACGATTTAGAGTACTCACTGTCTCTTGATGATGTAATAAAAGGACTGTATGATAATCCCGATTTGTATATGCCGCTTCGATCATCCTATATAACAAAGGAACACCTCCAGCATTCTTTCGGAACAACCATGGTCATCCCGAACAAAATAAGAGGCGCAAAAGAAGTGATTTACGGTAAAGGAAAAATCTCTCCATTACCAGATCATTTCTTAAGGGAAGATGAGGATGATGACAAACCTGGTCGGCATTT